GGTCGGTAACGCCTCAGTCCCACGCAATAGGTCGAGGGTGTTTGAGAGGAATGGTTGAAGAAAAAGTGAGGGTGAAAGAATCAGGGAGTGAGTAAGACAGCTGCACATAAAGTGAAACCAATTAGTATTGGTAATGAGCGGCCTTTAGGGTGTAAACATGGGTGACAGTATCGTGAGTGTTGTGCCATTTTGGTGACAGGTTTAGTAAAGCGACCACAACACTTGATTTATGGGACATTGAGTTCTATACTATAGTGTTGTCATATGAGTTGGCTAGCTGCCAGACTAACCATATTTTAGTTCTGACCACACGAGCCAACTGTGTAGAGTATCAGTGAGACGTGACAGAAGCACTGGTAGACCACGTGCTCCATCACTACACAGTATAAATCGTACAGTGTCTTAACACTGTGTATGGTCGGTTTATATTAAAAAAAATAATAATAATTTTGAAATATTGTATATTAATAGTATTTTAATAAAATATAACAATAGATGAGACAAAAGTCAGAATAGTCGACAAATGATACTGCTAGGGAAAATTATACTTAATGTGCGTCAATAGGGCATATATATAAAACAATAACAAAATAGTACGACAGTTATCAAAAATGAACTTTCATAGTGAAACACGAATCTGGATCTTCAAACTCTATACCCTCAAACCATAGACAGTACCCACAGTTGCCATATACCTCAACCTGGTTGTTATCACACAGTACAGTATGTAATTGAGGTACGTAGTCTGATGTCCAATATACGGTATGTATGTACAACTGTACACCCACAAACAGTACCTTATGTCGACATAGGTACTACTTATTGTTCCTGACACATGCACATTATACTGTAGTACAGAATACCCACGTACACTGTAAAAAACCGTGATAATGATGGGCTGGCATCATTACTAGCATGGAAGTTTACGTTGGATGGCCCAGGACCAGCTACAGAACAGTGTACAGTATGTGTACCTCCTCGTGGAACCATGCCTCGTCACAACAACCGTATATCGGAGGAGGATAAGAGAAGGATTATTGAGAAATATGAGGCGAACGAGGATTTTCTCATCACCTCTGCTGACCTTGGCATTAAGAGAACAACCGCTTATGGCATCATAAGAAATTATCAGAGAAAGGGACGTGTACACGACACCCAGGGCCGTGCAGGGAGACACCACAAGATTGAGGACTTCTTGGTAATGGTGATTGAGGAAGTCCCGACAATCATCTTAAAGGAACTAAACCAGGCACTGCGAAACACCTTCCTTACAAAGCCACAGGTATGTGATGCTACAGTGGCAAGAGCATTAGATGGTGTTTTGATAAGTGTAAAGAAACGTGCAAATATCCCACAAGACCAGAATTGTTGCAGTGAAAGATGCTCGCGTGCAGTATGCTCATTACATGTATGAGAGGGCTCCAACAACACGTATCTATGTCGACGAAACTGGATACAATTTGTACACAAAAGTACGTATGGTCGTGCAGTGCGGGGTGAGCACGTCAGACAAGCCGTAGGGGGACAGCGTAGTGGAAATATAACGCTGATAGCCGCTATCTCCGAAATTAGTGGATTAATTTATCATGAAATTCTCATCCAGAGTGTTACCAAGGAGGTTTTAACACACTTCCTAGCATCTCTAGATGTTTTTCTGGGCGATGAAGATGCCATTGTCATCATGGATACTGCTCCGTGCCATCGTGATGCTCCACAGTCCATGACCAACCATGTAGTGAGGTACCTCCCACCACATTCACCATTTCTAAACCCCATAGAGAACTGCTTCAGCGTCCTCAAAGCTACCCTGAAGCATCACATCAATGCCATAGCGGGGGTGTGTACCAGTGCTGCAGCCAGGAGAGCGGGTCAGACTCTCAGGGCTTACCGTGAAGACAGACAATGAGCGGCGATGGAGGAGTCTTTAATTGTCATAACACCACACCTAACTCAAGCAAATAACATGCACATTAACTAATTCTTGATGAAATGCCTTCATATGGTGGATGAATGGAAGTAATGTACATTACTACTGTAGGCTCTCGCCAATAACGACTTCCACAATAATGTTTTCGACAATAACGGTAAGTTACAATAGATACCCATTTTCGATAATAACGTCTGGATTCTCTTGAATTACGGAGATTTTGCGGGAAGCGTCTGGGCGCATCAATGATAGCGTTTGTTTGCCGCCATGTTGATGGCGTAGTTGTCCGCTCCGCCTCACTCCCACGCTCCGTGGAATACAAGCGCTGACCGCATGAAATTTTGCCTCCATATCCAGTGGTTGAGGCGGTGATCAACAATGGCTTCCGCATTGCCTGTGGGGCTAGGGGAGGTGGTGGAGGGAGTGATTTGCCGCCTGAATGCCGGAACTTTTAAGTGAATGAAAAAGACCCCAAAGCTAAGAGACAAAGCCACAAAAGTGTGCCTACTCAGTCAAGGATAAAGAACAGATTGTTGAGCTCACTGAAAGTGGTGCACGGAACATTGATATTGTGAGGAAATTGAACTGTCCTGAGTCTACAGTGCGAAATATTAAGAGGAACTTAGAGGAGACCAAGAAAAGTATTACGGTGGCTAAGAAATATTTCGGTAGTGATGGAAATGCAAGGCAAGCTATGACAGATAAAGGCGATAGAAATAGGTTGATAGTGATAACAGAGCATTTTCTTGTGAAATGGTTAGCTTGTAGAATGAAAGACAGTGCAAGTGATAGTGGCCCTCAGATACGGAACATTCATCACACCAAGTACCTCAAGAACTCCCCCAAGCTAAGTGTTATATTACTCAAACTCTTTATTTTGATGATTGAATAACAATTCTTTTTATTTCAGCTAACAAAAAGTGTTAGGAGGGCTTCTAAGGGGAAAAATTGGGTGAAATTCTTGGGCGACAGCACCAATAAACCATTTTTACATGTACAGTATTTTAATGTCACACAAATAACGTTTTTGCTTATAACAGCGTTTTCAGGCACCTATTAGACGTTATTACCGAACCTACTGTACAAGGAAACAGGCTAATACTATGCATTTAATAGGTTGCAAACATGTCACCATAATGATACACAGGTATATATCAACTTTGTATGTATGTTACCTATATTTTCTTCGGCTTACTTTATATTAAACACTAAGTACAGGTGTCTACCATGAAGTGCATATACCTTATTTGAGACGTACAGGTATACCTGTATAGAATGATTAAGAACATATGTTGTGTCGACAGTATAGGTTACCCGTGAATTAACGTACGTATTTCATGTACTACCTGTATTTTCATACATCAGCTACTGATACAGTATAGTACTGTACCCTACAGTAAAGCACATGTTAACATTTGAACATAGCATTTCTATTCATAACTCCTTTAACCACAATGGCCTCATTATACAGTATATATGGGTTGTAATTGGTTAAATATATTAGGCATTTGTTAATATACATTGTGTTTCATTGTCCTTGATGTTTTATGTCTGTATTTTGTGAATTTGTTGTTGTTATTCTGCACAGATGTCCAAGTATTTTGTGCGAATGACAGAATATATGTTTAGATGTTATAGTACATGACCCTGTGATATTAATGATGACCACTGGTTTTCTATTCTCCATCTCTGTCTATCAATAATGCAAAAAGGAGTATTACTGTAGTTTATTTTAACAATTTAACACTTTTGTAAGCTCAGTGTTTTAACTGCTGCAGTAAATCTAGCCAATGGGGAAAGTTTTCCCAAATATCTGGGGAAAAATAAAGTGGTCCTCTATTGGGAATATCCGTTATCGAGAGGATATACTTTACATTTTCATGTTTCTTATTCTTATTGAAGTAATTTTTATAGGTATAGGGACTCAAACCAACACATTCTCAGCACTAACTACTTTAAAGAGTCAAGTGAATTTGAGCAGCATTTGGATACCTATATGTATTGTAAACTGTATCACAACAGACGGCCCAGCATTTGGAGCAGTCAGGTAAGTAATCCTGAATTAGTCAGGAATCCAGCTCTTCAGATAGTTTTTTCCAATGTAGCCAGTAACGTAAGGATGTGTTTATGCATTTTATTGAATCTTTTCTGCATATTCCCCACAGGACAAGTTTTAAGATGAGTTGATGCCTGTACTGTCGGATCTTAGTGAAAGGGATACTGTAGTACAGGCTGGTGACCTAAGTGACTGTGTTGGTGTGTACGCTGAGGGTTATCAAGGTGTGCATGGTGGAATAGGCTATGGTTAAGGATTACAGTATGTAAATGAGAAAGAATGAAAGAATACTTACGGTAAGTTTAATTAGGGATGCACTGAATGTGGTTGTATGTAACATTATTATTTAAGAAGACAGCAAATAGGCTGACACATAAAACTAGAATGACTGTATATTGTATTTGTCAGGAAATCAAATGGGAATCTTGTTAGGGATGTGACAGGTTATACAGGTTGTACCTCTCTAGTCGGCATTCTGTGGTCGGGAACTCCTGTGGTCGGAACAATTTTAGTTAGTCAATAGGTAGATAGGCAGTTTTTTTTTTTTTTTTTTACCTACTTATCTGAATTATTATTACAGGAGTATTAAATTTTTGCCCCTCAGGCCCCAATGTGGTCAGTGACCTATGACGGGTGGGCTAATCATAAAAAAAAAAAAAACCAACCGCGAGAGGAATAAGGTTTGTTTACATCCGGCATATATATATATATATATATATATATATATATATATATATATATATATATATATATATATATATATATATATATATATACTACTCTATATATATATATATCTCTCTCTCTCTCTCTCTCTCTCTCTCTCTCTCTCTCTCTCTCTCTCTCTCTCTCTCTCTCTCTCTCTCTCTCTCTCTCTCTCTCTCTCTCTCTCTCTCTCTCTCTCTCTCTCTCTCTCTCTCTCTCTCTCTCTCTCTCTCTCTCTCTCTCTCTCTCTCTCTCTCTCTCTCTCTCTCTCTCTCTCTCTCTCTCTCTCTCTCTCTCTCTCTCTCTCTCTCTCTCTCTCTCTCTCTCTCTCTCTCTCTCTCTCTCTCTCTCTCTCTCTCTCTCTCTCTCTCTCTCTCTCTCTCTCTCTCTCTCTCTCTCTCTCTCTCTCTCTCTCTCTCTCTCTCTCTCTCTCTCTCTCTCTCTCTCTCTCTCTCTCTCTCTCTCTCTCTCTCTCTCTCTCTCTCTCTCTCTCTCTCTCTCTCTCTCTCTCTCTCTCTCTCTCTCTCTCTCTCTCTCTCTCTCTCTCTCTCTCTCTCTCTCTCTCTCTCTCTCTCTCTCTCTCTCTCTCTCTCTCTCTCTCTCTCTCTCTCTCTCTCTCTCTCTCTCTCTCTCTCTCTCTCTCTCTCTCTCTCTCTCTCTCTCTCTCTCTCTCTCTCTCTCTCTCTCTCTCTCTCTCTCTCTCTCTCTCTCTCTCTCTCTCTCTCTCTCTCTCTCTCTCTCTCTCTCTCTCTCTCTCTCTCTCTCTCTCTCTCTCTCTCTCTCTCTCTCTCTCTCTCTCTCTCTCTCTCTCTCTCTCTCTCTCTCTCTCTCTCTCTCTCTCTCTCTCTCTCTCTCTCTCTCTCTCTCTCTCTCTCTCTCTCTCTCTCTCTCTCTCTCTCTCTCTCTCTCTCTCTCTCTCTCTCTCTCTCTCTCTCTCTCTCTCTCTCTCTCTCTCTCTCTCTCTCTCTCTCTCTCTCTCTCTCTCTCTCTCTCTCTCTCTCTCTCTCTCTCTCTCTCTCTCTCTCTCTCTCTCTCTCTCTCTCTCTCTCTCTCTCTCTCTCTCTCTCTCTCTCTCTCTCTCTCTCTCTCTCTCTCTCTCTCTCTCTCTCTCTCTCTCTCTCTCTCTCTCTCTCTCTCTCGCGTGCTTGTCTGTACAGAGTACAACATTTAACCCAAAATGAGCGGTAAATAAGTGTTGCTTTCATATTCTTATGTAGAGTAATGACGATATGTTTTCACATGTGCGCACTTACATACGCGCAGTCTCACTTTTTTTTTTACCATTAATGGTTAGCTACTTATATTGTTCCATTTATTAACATTAAATAACATTACAGGTACTTCAAACAACCATATTATTTTTTTTTACATTAATTTTACTACAGCTAAAATCAGGGTCTTATTTTCTTCAGTTTTATATAGAACCAATCAGTCACTGGTTTCGTAAGCTTTAACATAAACAATGCCGGCAGCCGTCTCGTCTCCTCTAATATTCCATGTATTATTAATAAATTGTATTGTTAATTTTGCACACACATACATTAATTCAATAAAAACAAATTCAGAAACATTAATTAAAATATATATGAACAGTAAATAAGTGTTGCTTTCATATTCTTATGTAAAGTAATGACGATATGTTTTCACGTGTGCGCATGCGCACTTACATATGCGATCTCTCTTTTTTCTTTACCATTATCGTTAGCTACTTCTATTGTTCCATTTATTAACATTAAATTACATTACTTAAAACAACCATATTAATTTTACTACAGCTACAACCAAGGTCTTATTTTCTTCAGTTTTATATGTAGAACCAGTCAGTCACTGGTTATGTAATCAATGAAAACAATGCTGTGTCATTTCCTCGTGTGTTTTAATATTCTACATATTATTAATGAATTGTATTGCTCATTTTGCACACATAAACATTAGTTAAATAAAAAAGACATTCAGTAATAAACAATAATGAATCTTTTGTACATAAGAGAAATGACGCTGTTTACACAATTATGCACGTCGTCTGCACGTTGGCGGGCCGTTCAAACCCGTCGAAATTCAAGTTTCCGCCCTCAAAATTTTTATTAATTTATTTTTTTGTGTGTTCCAATAAAATACGTTAAGAAATAAAAACTTGCGAAATTTGAGAAGCTACTATACAACATTTAACCCTTCAATATGTCTTCAAAGAGACCATGATGCAGAGAAAGTGGTGCTAGTGCTTCCAAGCATAAGCGCAAGTCACTATCTATCCAGGAAAAGGGTGAATTTCCATGGTCCGGCACCGGTCAGGTCCCGAGGTTGCCGGACTAGAGAGGTACAACCTGTAGCAGAAAGAGCCTGCCTACCATGCAGCACAAAATGATTGTTTGTTAAAAGGTGCAAGAAAAGGATGTACAGTACTGTAATATTTTAGGGTTTTTTCATAATATTTTGTATATGAATATTATTTAAATTAAGGGGAATTTCCTTATTTCTTTCTTTATAATATAACTTTGTGCTGCACATTGTAGGTGTAAATAGAACAGTGTACCTGTGTATGAAACATAAATAAGCACAGATGGATTAAGATGTCATGTGTAGCTACAATTCCCAGATTGTGTGTTATAAAGCCATTAGCCTAGACTAAATAACAATACTCTTTTGTGTTACAAGACATTGCTAATTGGATTGAATTTAAGGATAGAGACCTTGCCTCTGGCAAAAATAGCTTTTACTGTACTATAGCTGCACTAAAATTTATGCTTAGATGTTGCATCTGTAAACATCACTGACAAATCTTTGTCCAGTTAACCCTTGAAAGTTCGGATTTCGGATAGTCCGAACCCTTTCTAGGCAAGAAACATTTGTCTGAACCCTAAAATATTTGTCATTTGAAATTCCTGCCACACACAGTCATTTGAAATTACTGCCATTGAGCAATCCCTTGGCCACTTTCCTTCTCTCAGACCGGTGAGTGAGCAGTTTATTCCCCCATTCTTAGAATGGATTCGCCCATAATGCTGCACTGAGATTGGTGAACTTTAAGCTCAACACGCAATGATGATGGTAATCCTCCCGGGAGGGGAGCAGAAGATGAGCGCATATTGCATCATACTTCTACTTTGCTGTCACTCAGAATCGAGTATGACAATCATCCAGCTATGATACAATGATGTCACCTTCTTTGGTGAGCTCTGAGGTGACTCGAGAGGCCAATGCGGGACGGCAGGGTCGGCCACAGATGTTACACGTGTGGTGGGCTACATCTAGTGCAGGAGGGGCGACGGCTACGTCTTTCCGGCTTTGGCACTTGTCTGCCTCGGTATGCAGTCGGGCTAACTCAAACGCACAGTAAGATCTTGTATTTCGTGAGTACCGTATTTTTCGGCTTAAAAGACGCACTTTTTACGACAAAAATATACCTCGAAAATTACCATGCGTCTTCCAGGATGCTAGTTGATAGTTGTAGTAGAGGTTTTTGAAATCAGCCCCTTACAAAGACTGTTACCTCATTACAGTACTTAACAATTACAAGTATTCTCTATACAGTACTATAAAACTATTGATTTAACTAATATTGTTGATATATTGCGAAAAAATAAAAATAAATAAACCCTTGCTGCTGTGTGGTTTGTTTACTAATGACAGTGGTGCGGCAGCACCATCTATTGAGGAATTGCTAAAAGTTGTCTGCTGGTCTCAAATGCAGGAATGTTTGTTTCTTTATATGTAGGCTCTCATATTTGGACACCTATTTACAGTAGGCTCTCATATTTGGATACCCATTTAGACTGTAAAAGCCCCACAAAATTAAAATCTTCCAAATTTAAATACAACTTCGTCATCCAAGTAAAAACACACACAACAACATTGGCTGTCCTTATGTTTTCAACTTTACTACCACTGGTGGGTAGAATTTTTTTTTTAAATTCAGAAACATTAATTGAAATATATATGAACAGTAAACAAGTGTTGCTTTCATATTCTTATGTAGAGTAATGACGGTATGTTTACACATGTGCTCACTTACATACGTGATCTCACTTTTTTTTACCCTTAATAGTTAGCTGCTTCCATTGTTCCATTTATTAACATTAAATAACATTACTTAAAACAACCATATTAATTTTTCTACATTAATTTTACTACAGCCACAACCGGGGTCTTATTTTCTTCAGTTTTATCATTATGTAGAACCAATCAGACACTGGTTTTGCAAAAAAAAAGAGTTGTTTTTTTACTTTTATTTTGTTTTTAAATAAAGATTTTTTGTTTTATTTAGATGTTGATATACATGTTTACAT